AGCAGCCAACCAAGCGGCCCCACTAAACCACATCCGGTCTCCATTAAACACAAACGGCTCTTTTCAGAGCCACCACATCTTCCAAAATAGATTGATCAATGTGTTTACCTTTTATTTATTATAATAATTATCATTATTATCATCAGTAATTAACCATGACTAGGAGAAACATTAGTTCATTCCACAAAAAAGGAAAACTAAGAAAAAAAGCCCAACGATTTGCCCTTTCTTGTTCAAATCTCCAACGGCTGTCCCAAGCCAACCAACGGAAAGAATTAGCCAACCAAAATGAACAATTCATAACCAACCTCTCAAATCTATCACTCTCCCTACCCAGAAAATAGCTTTAGGTAAAGGATTAAATTTTGTTCCCTCCCCAGTTAAACCAACCCGTCTCTCACTTATCCAAGATATAAACAAATATCAAAGACGAATGAGAATTGCATTTCTGATGCACACAAAAGTTCTGAAAAAGAGGCCTTTCAAACGCTGCAAGTTTAAGTGCTGATTAAATTGAATGCCCCAAAGTAGTGATACATATGCATTAACAATTGACGAGTATGAATGTAATTAATACTGCTATACATTTTTTTTATTACAATTATACAGGGCAGAAGAATTCAAAATACTAACAGTTGTTCCTAAAAATTGAAGAAAGAGAATTCTGGGAGATACACAAAACAGCATAAGATGTGCTCCTGTAAGAATCTGGGTTACTACTGCACACTTATGTGCAGATGCATTTTTGTGCCTGCATATTTTTTCCCCTTTGAATATTCCAACAGGCAAAAAGATTTTGATGGAGTATTCACAACAGCCCTATCTACTGCCAGTGCATGGAGATCATGTGCCACATTTTCAAATTATTAATAACAAATTTCATTTACACTGTCAACGTTTGTTACCCCTTTCAGTTGGTGTAATGGCCAGCCAGAAGACCTATAAACTGGTCGTGAGGTATGTATGTGGCTTGAAACGGTCCCCAAACCATTGGTTTGAATCTCGTAAGGAACAAACACAGTGGGTCGAGTGTGTTTGGCCCCCGTCTCCGTCTTGGTAATGTGTCTTAGCGATTTTGTTGGTTCAAAAAGTTTTTAAAAATTTGTAACAATTCAGAAAGATGTTTATTATAATTGTGTTAATGGAGACAAAATATGTGCAGTAATATTATGGTCACGTGGTATTTTGTGTAATGGCTGGGTGGTATCCAGGAGGAAATGTCCCCAAATTGACCAAAAGTACGGTGGTGTGCACTTGCACTTGTTATTGTAATGCTTATACAGTCGTTACGAATTAATTACAAAGACATTGTTTTTTAATTATCTTTATTGTTAATTTTATAGGCTTGAATCTTCTCCAAAATTGAAATACACGTACCTCAAATGTAACAGTTTTTCTCCACAGAGGATTTCAGGGAAATCAAGAAAGGTTCTATCAAAATATTTGTAATAATATGTAAGGGCTAAACCTGTACCTTGTACTTTTGTCAATCTTTCAGACAAACAAACATCCCGGGTCTACAAGAAGAAGCCGGCTTCCCGAATGATTGAACTGAAAGTTTCATCTCACATGAGAGAAATGTATGTGCTGAGCAAGAGGGGGCTACCAGCCAAAATGAGTTAAAAACTCTTTTCTGATTCAACAAGGCTTTTGAGGAAGGCGCGTCTTTGCTGGGGGTTCCTTAAAAAACTTGTTCGCAGGCATGTTATGCCAAACAAGCTAACTACAACATAATAATAAGATTAATAAACAATAATGAAAATTTATAAAGCATCGCTATCTGCCCCAAGTGCTAAATTATCACCAACCTCCCCGGTTTTTCCTCTAGGGCCACCAGAGAAGGACAACTTGCCGAACACAACTACCATGGGGGTGATGTTCTATGCAAGGGTGGGAAGGTCGTCACTTTAAAGCTGGATTCAATATGTCAAGCCATTATGTTGCAAGCTGCAAAAGACTACCCAAAGTCGACCAAGACAGAATCTCACATGACATCTGTAAGAGATGCCATTAATGACGAGGGTAGGAAGGTAGCAGTCAAGCTTGGGCTTATTAAAATTACATCCCGCATTAGACAAACTATTGTATTATTCTGTTAATTCAATTTGCTCCCACATTAGGCCCTCCTATTATCGGAAAAGTACAGGTTTTACTGTCAACCATAAAAGAAACTAGAACTTCCGGATAAAGGAGTCAGCCAGACTCAACTTTGAAGAACTGCAATGTATCCAGCCCAACCTGTCCAGGAAGAAGGCCGTACAGAAGCCGTTTTGTGGATGATTTTGAGCTGATTTGAGAGGAAACAAGAAGATATCAACAACATCAAGACGGACCAGGCCCTTATTAAGAGCCATTTAGTTTTAACACAGGGACAAAAGTTGGAACCGAGGGTTGTGTAAATTTCAAACGATCAGGTATTGTTGGGATGCGATGGAATTGGTATGTGTACCATCAATAGGGCTGCCTATTCTGAGTTGTACACTAAGGCATCAGGCCCAAAAGAGTTGGTCCTGAAACTGATGTCGGCTCTTTTTTTCAAGTGAAGATCTGGCTAGAAGCAACTTTCATGGGGGGAAGTTGTCTGCAAGGGAGGGGTCATCAGAAAGGACGTGCTGAAGCACACTAGGGTATTTCAGGCAATACTGGCACAAGCGGAAAAAGAGTTCCCGATTCCACAAAAGGAGACGTATACAGGAAGGCACTCACAGACGCCGTCAACGGAAAGTGTCGAAAGATAGCAACTAAATTTTAAAATCATGGTTTGCCAACAGATAATTAGATAATCCGGTTTAATTTCGGTTTAAATTTAACCAGACTGAGGCAGTAAAATTTAAAATCATGAAGTGTCGACACAGATAATTAAATAATCAGGTTTGTTTTCTGTTTGATGTTAACCAGACTGGGAAAGGTTTATTTTCAGTTAAAAGTTAACTGATATATTTTTTCACATTGTAGTTTCAACTGATATCAAACAAATCTATCAATAGTAGAACTTGTATCCCTTTGTTATTGATATAAAAAATACATGTAGTTTGTGGATGATCATCGTAGTGAGACTGGGCATGCAAATATCACAGGAAAGAAGTAATTGCCACTTCAATAGGAATGTACATAAATTCCCAAATAGCACGACTCATCTATTAAGAAAGGTTTGAAGTAATCGTCACCCGCCGATGATGTTTATATTTCTTCCCTGACCGAAACAACAATAGGTCTACCGTTTTTGGAAGGTTAAAAAATGACGTTAATTTTTTTTTTTTTAAGGTATTCATCACTGCCCGCCCCAGTTTTCACATTCGGCCCAATGTTTAATATTTGTACATTTCTTTGTAAACTGAGTATTTTCTCAAATAATTTTTTTGCTGATAAATGACTCTCTCATCCTCGAGCCAACTCGAAAACATTTTAATCAACAAAGCTTGGTGCTTTTTCTATTTTCATTAATTTTGTTTTGAGATCGCAATGCTTTTGTTTGTGGCGATTTTACGAAGCACAATTTTCTGTGTGAACATCACCATGTGCCAGTGACCACCGGCGATACGTAGCCTGCGTGGGGCCACGGCTGGTCAACATAGCAGTCCACGCACCACGAGTGTTACTGCACGGTACGGACCAAGTCCGGCCAAGGTGCGGCATTTTTTGTAAATGACTTAAAATTCCTTCTTTTTTGAAAGAGTACCACTTGTCTTCAAAATTAGATCCGTTAAAACGGCATCAACTCTTTTAGGTTTAGTACCATAACATAACATTTTACAAAATAGGCCCTATATAAAATACCTCTTCTGACTGATTTTCTCTCCATCCGAAAACTAAAAATCAACATTCCGTAAATGCAGTCCTGTATGTACATGTAAACACTAGATGTGTACTGTCACAAAGTCGTGCGTTCAACATGTGTATTTTCAAGCTTCAACAATGAAAGTACTTAAAGTTAAACAAGCTTTTGAAACTTCGGTGGCATCTTTGGGGACAGATGATAAGGCTTTTGTTTGTTGTGTTTTGTTATTGATCAAGATAATCTTACCGGCTGGCCGAGGCGCGCTTAACGCTAATCTTCACAGCGTGCCAGGGCGGGCCGAACGTCAGGCTGTGTCATGAGCATGATTAAGATATCAATGCTACCAACACAATAGCCGATTTTAATGAGCCCTCACGAGAGCCATCCCACCGCAGAGCGCCGGGCTCACTGAGAACATTGGCCAGGCAAAAAAACCACCGCAAAGGTGCCGCAGTACGGTGCGCCCCAGCACGCTGAGTAAACTATTAAGGACGCTGGACCTAAGGGAAGGGGATTGCCCCAGTGTTATTCTGGCACTGGCTACAGCACCTTGTATACGGTGACCAATGGGTCTCATACATTGCATATTCCTCATAAACTTCATTTATAATTACCTGTCTTTTAATAAAAATAGACCTTACTACCAGTGCCTTGAGTATCTAAGCAGAGACGGAAACAGACAGAAGCAGAGAAGACTGGTATCATTTCTTATGTGAAAGTAAGTAGCATACATTGTAGTACTTTGAATGATGTATAACACGGCCACGGCCACTCCAGACTCCCATAACAGAGGAGGAAGTCAAGAGCGCCATCAATGCACGCCACCGCAATGGCCATGCTGCCAGTCCAGACGGTATCAACAGCGAGCTCTTCAAGCACTCCAAAAACCTTGTCTCCCACCCACTGGCCAAAACCATCACCTCATCGTTTGAGCATCACATGATCATAGAGACACTAGGAGAAGGCACACTAATCACTCTTCCCAAGCCAAAGAAGCCCCCCCCCCCCCCAGCTCACCAGCCAACCTCCGGCCGATAGCCCTGCTGAACAGCATAAGAAAGATTTGTCCATCATCACCCTACGCCGCATCAGAGACAAGCTCGACCGCTTCACCGGACCATATCAAAGTGGTTTCAAAAGAGGCAGGAGCTGCGCAGACATTGTATGGGCACAATGTATGCTGACCTCAGTTGTTAAGACAAGGAAATGGGACTTCCACAAGATGGGCATTGATCTGTCGCAAGCTTTAGATACCATCAAGCGGAAACACATCCTAGATGTCCTACTACAAGCAGGCTGCAACGAAGATGAACTAAGACTAGCAAGATCACTGTTAGCAGGGACAAAGCTCAGGGTCTGTGTACAAAACAAGCTGTCAGACTCATTTCAGACCTCAATAGGATCCCCCCAGGGTGATAGCCTATCACCAGTCCTTTTCACCTGCTACCTTGCTGCTGCACTTTCATCCATCCGAGAAAGCTCCAACAGGCCCAACCCACCGATCTCCAGCCTAGGTCTGCCACTAGAAATGGAGTACGCACACGATGTTGACTCTCCGGATGAAGAAAAGAAACCCCTGGACCATCTCCAGCCAGTAGCAGCGGAGAAACTAAAAGTCGACAACTTGTTCATGAACGAGACGAAGACAGAGTTTACTCACGTATACCTTGCAGAAGCCACGGAGACGGACTCACATGGCAAGGCTGTCCGCGGCAATGAGAGTTGGCACAAGAACAAGACCCTAGGCTCCTTACTGTGCAGCACTTCAGACATCACAGCTCGCTGCATTCAAGGCAATGTAACATTCCACACGTTACAGAAACTCTGGAGCCAGCGAACCAAGATCCCGCTGAAGACAAGACTCCGTCTTTACAACACATACTGCGTATCAATCATGCTCTACAATTGCAACAGCTGGGCAGCACCCAAAGTCATGCTTGACAAGCTGGATGCGTGCCACCGCAGACACAGGTCACTGCTGGCCAAAGAGCCTTATCAGCAACCAGGCACTATGCGAACTGTGCAATGAAGAACCCTTCTCATCAAAGGTCACAAAGCAAAGATGGTCAATGTTAGGCCATGTCCTACGTATGGATCCCGACACACCCGCTCAGAGGGCCTTAGACTTTGCTGTTACTGGCTCTCAAGCCTACAAACCAAGACGAGGACGGAATTGCATAAATCTGCTGGGCACAATACGTGCTGACCTCAAATGGGCTGGATTCGGACCCCTCCGCACTGCGAAACAACTCCATTGCCTACAGCAACTCCCCCACGACAGGACCAGGTGGCCGAAGACCAATGTGAAGGACTGATTGCGGCTGCGGGATGTCAAATCCGACTACCGCAGCTGCAGTACACAGTATATATATATATATAACAAAGATTAATACCAAAAGTCGTTTACAAGTAGAAAAATCGTGTACAAAGTCTATGGGATTTGCCACGGAACAAAAAGGAGAGAGAAAAAAAATGAGAACAAACAGAAAGGCTTTTCCGCTACTTTGCAGAAAAGCAACACACAAAAAGGGGACAAAAAACCTTAACAAAAACAAAATCTGTCCCCAATGCAACAAATAGACAAATTCTAGCCATTTTTCAGTTTTCGTTTTGCCAATTGCAAGGGTATGTGTACATAGAAGCCTTTTGCAGACATGCAATTGGGAATTTAGAAAAAAAAACCAGAAATTCCAAACCACAACAAGACTTTGTACAGTGTTATTCAATTTATGAATGGCATTCTTGAGAAGTTAAAACCAAGGAAATCGGCTGATCCGAGGAAAAGTTGCTTGCCTGCTTCAGCTCAGGCTAATTTTTCTGTCTGGTGTGACGTCATTTCAGGCCAAAACCCCATTGTTACAACTACTCAGTACCAAAAGTTGTTTTTAACTCTTACGTACCTGAAAATCCACACCCCTGTTTTGGAGGATTTCAGCTGAATCAGGATACTTCATATTGAACAAGTTGGGGTATTTTGATGGATTCAGGACAGTAAGCCCAATAGCACGGCAGGATTTTGATAGATTCAGAATGCTTCCATATTGAGCAGTTGGGGGGGGGGGGGGGGGGGCTTTTGACGGATTCAGGATCTCAACAATTGAACCCCTGGCTCACTGGTGGATACTGATGGACTCACTGGATACCAACATTTGTTTGCATGACAAAACTGATGGATTTTGGCGGATTCAGGATACTTTCTATTAACAATACCCAAGGGGTTATGGTTAATGGTACATTACCGCCTGGAGTGCACCCACTTGGCTACAAAACACTTTTGGATACAATTAAATGGCAAGAACAGTAAAAGCAAAATATAAACTTCCATACAAGCATCCATTAAAAACTGGCTGCGTTTGTGTTATTCTTGCAAGAACCGTGCGAGAACAAATTTCCGGGGTCAATATTTTGTTTTCGAAAATCAAGCTGTGGATGCATCAGAAAAAACCATTTGTGTTGGTGCTCTGTGTAGTTTATGTGACACACACTGTGTATTGAACGTTGAATGGACCGGACAGGATTAACGTATGCGTATATGCCTTCACATCAGATGTTAAGACATAAGGGGACGGTAAGGCATAAGGTTAGTTTCCTTGCAATCAGACCTTAAAAAAGTAAACAATCCAAAACATGACATTTTGGGGGATTTCAGGCAGGAATACCCCTTTCAATTTTGGATATTGTGGTATTGTAAATAGCATTAGCCAATGAGCAAACGTTTCTCAAGTACCTGTTTAATGAGCAGATTTTTTTGAATTCACAAAACCAAGTCATTTTTCCCCAATGTACATTTTACCCTTAATGTACAAAACAACTTAATTTGCACAAATTACGGCAGGAATATCAGTTGATAGAGCATATATATGTGACGTGGTATGTCAAATTCAGGCACATTTGGGCAAGAAGTCAATTTTCAGTTACTGCAATATTAGTGACATATAGGTCTCTCTCAAATGATGCGACTACAGATTGCCACATGCATCTCGGCATTTTGGATTCAAATGTTCTTGACGCTCATCGGCTGCACCTTTTTTCAATTTTTCAATTCAGAAAATTTGAGTAACATGCGCACGTGTTCAGAACATTTTGTCTCACCGTGCACAATGGCGTTGTGCAAATGACAACGTACTTTTCTTAATATGTCTTATAAGAGATACATCTATAGACTTTGCTCTTACAAACACCACTTTTTTTCTGAAATTTGATAATACAGCATGGTTTTGACATACTGTGTCACATAACATATGATTAATACCAAAAACATATTAAAAGAAATATTACTATGTTATTCAGTGGCGGATCCAACATTTACAGAAATGAGGGGGGTGCCAATAAAGGATGCAAACCTGAACATTCAAGCAGGGCACATTGTACTTGATATTCAATGTGGTTGAAAAGTTTCTGTCTTGAATATATCACAAGTGAAGTGAAAAAAAAGGAAAACAGACAAGATGAATGCACTTCCCATTCTGCCCATCTGATCCGCCACTGTTAATACTTGAACAATGCAAATCAACACCGAACTAGGATATATTTTTACATTCAAGAAAGAAGTAAACAGTTACCACATTCCCCTGGTCTTGTGCCTGTGGTCCCCTCCAGTGTGGATCCCCTCCAGCGTGGATCCCCTCCATCGTGGGTTCCCTCCAGTGTGGGTTCCCTCCAGCGTGGGTCCCCTCCAGTGTGGGTCCCCCCAGAGTGGGTCCCCTCCAGTGTGGGTTCCCTCCAGCGTGGGATCCCTCCAGCCTGGGCTCCCTCCAGCGTAGGCCCCCTCCAGTGTGGGCTCCCTACAGCATGGGTCCCCTCTAGCTCCACCTGTATGATCCAGTCTATATGTCTCTGGGTAAGAGGTCTCCAGGTGAGGGCCGCAGAGGGTGCTGGAGCTAAGCCAAGTGGTCTCTTGATCTCCTTCGCAAGCCTTTACTGGAAACCAGCACGGCCTGTTCACCAATCAAACATAATACATAATATCAGATCAAGACGCCGAGTTGAAATACATGTAGAGTCAATTACAAGTCAAATCACAGGTCTAATAATACTCAAGACACACTGTGATTGTTAAAGCATTGCATTTTTTATAACTTAGTCTGAAACCTTCTAAAATCGCATGTGTTGGATTTTACCCACTTTATCGTTCATGTGGTTGTCCGGATCAGACCGGCCACATGTTAGCGGGCAGTGCGGTATGTACAGTGGTACCCTACTGTTGTGTACCATCGTGTGCTGTGCACTCACGCACCACACACTGTATAATTACCGTGCGATACAGTCAGCATCACACGCTTTCCATGTCAGCAGGTCAATGTTTCAACTTTCATCCAGTGGGAAAAGGCTCCATTCAGTGTTGGCCTAGGTGTTTGTATATTCCCTTTACGGCTGGCAAGTGAGATCAGCTTCATCCTGAATCAAGACTCAGAAGCACTGATTTCAACAAAATATACCCAAAGCAGCTTGATTGTACTATTTGTGTCCTTATTTTGTGTGGTTCATTAAACAACACAAAGCATATATGCATAAAAGGGAGGGGAGGAGAGAAGGGGGGGGGGGGAGCCACTGACACCACTGCGTATACACCATGCGGACAGGAGGGAAGAGGCATTTCTTGCATAAGTTCTTTACTGACGGCCCACTTGCAAAGAGTAAACTGCATACCTTGGCAGTCACACTTGTTGGCGATTGTCCCCATGCATTCTTGCATTTGCGGATGCCTAGCTTGGTCTTAGGCCTATCACTAGTCTCCTCCAGCATGGCTTCCAGCGTCAGCCTGTCAGCTCTATAGGGGCTCTGGTCTGGGTCTCTACAAAGTAAGAGGTCGGGGCAGCGTAGGGTATTATGGCTCCAAAACTCGCAGCCAGGATCCTAGTCAGTAGCCTGTTCATAGATAAAAAGCAAAATTAGAAATAATTCTTGAAGAACAAGTTAGAGGCAGAGTTGAGATTGTGTAAATCACAAGTCAAATTACAACAAAACAGGATGAATGAAAGAGGAATATCTGAACAGTTCACATGAATTGCTTGCCAAAAAAACCCAGTGCTGTTAAACCAAACAGTGGCATATGAATTCCTTTGGTGTATTAATTGTACATCTAAACTCCAATAAAATGTGCCGTTGCTCAATGGCTCAGCGCGTTGGGTCTGTTTATTGTATATGTGCTAGGCAGCGTTAGTGGACATACACAGAGCCCAGGAGCTCTTATCTCTATGTGTCCAAGGTCATCTTGCTGTGCGCTTTGGCCAGTTTACACGGGGTCCTTCTGACCACAAAGGATTTGATATGTCATACCTTCAAAGAAGGTTCAAGTGCGCTCCAACCATGACGTGGCTCCAAAAGACTGGTAGATCATCTCACACGTGACGCCCAGTGTCAGCTCAATGGGTTTTTGGCACTGCACCCACTGTTGGGGACTGGGTTAGGGACTAGATGACTCATCCTGTTCTTGTTAGGGGAGTGTGGGCAGGGCCGCAAAACAACCCCACCAAATTCCTTGGTCAGACAGTTGCTGCCACCCAGCTTCAGCCAGAAGCACTGTAACTGCGCAAGGGCCGCTCTTTGCAGTTGGTGGCCCACTTGTACGAAGCTGGCCTATCAGTAATAGCCGCTCAGGTTCAGCCGAAAGACGCTGTGACTGTGCAAGGGCCGCTTGTTGCAGTTGGTGGTTCAGCGCTATTGTGTGAATCTGACCTAGCAGTGACTGCACCTGACCCTTGCTGGTAACCGTCACGATATGGTGTACTTGGTAACCTAGACATCCATCCACCAACTTGATGTTGCACATACTTCTTGTTGCCCGACCCAGCAGGTCCTCTACCCTCTAATTGTAAAAGTTGGCTTCCACTGTGTCCTGCAACATAACGTAGAATGAGAAAGTGATTCCAATCGCTTCTTTAAAGGACTAAAAAGAGAGAGAAAAATCTTCCAATCCAATTTCAAACACAAACAAACAAACCTGAATTTGTTTAATTGGGACTCAGGTTTTAATCCTTGTTGCAGGGACAACCGTACAATTTTTTGTGCAGTACATGTTGTGTAATATAATCACTTAGACATTTCTGGGTTACAAAATTCACTTTTCTAAAATTCCAAAGAAATTCACATCCTATTCAACAACTTTTTCAAATTTTATCAGATCCAGGTTTTGTAGCGAAGCCTCTAATTAACTGGTTAGGGTTCTGTCACACTTCTGCGTATCCTAATTCCTTATGAGTTGCGCATTGACATTTTTTTCATACGCAGTCGTACGTACAATACGCACCTCATATGCATCTCTAGCATTTTGTGTAAGTTTTATGTACGCAGGCATACGCATGGTACGGCCCAATACGCCGGATAGTTTTGGGCATGCACAAAACTACGCTGCGTACGCTGTTACGCAGGTCATATGTTATATACGCAGCACATCGGCCCCGCATCGGTCGAGCGCGATACGAGTACGCTATGTGTTCGTAGGGGATAAGCGGTTCATACGCGGTAATACGCTGATCTCCACGCACCCCGTCAGCATATGAGCCGGTGTATACATGTACATAGCGTACTTGCAGCGAAGATACAGCACACGCTGAACGAACCCATAGCGAATGCCGACGTGCTGCAAGAATTAGTACTGCTCATTCTGCGAGTGGGCAGCGCATTGTACTTATTCGTAACTTATGAGAAACACACAGATAGCGTACTTGCCGCAACTCATATGCATCTCATATGCAGTGGATGCACTGGATTCGTTACTTGTACACTAGATGTGCGTCGTACATTAAAGTCAAAATAATTTTAAAAAATTGACGTTTTGAGCGTATGGCTGGGTATTGAAAAATTTTGATAAGGAACTCATAAGGAATTAGGATACGCAAAAGTGTGACAGGGGCTTTATATTAATGATGTGCATCGAGTCGGGTTGACCAGGCCAAACCGACCCAAAACATTGGAGATATAAACCGAATCCGAACTGAAACCAATCTTAACTCCCTCAAACCGACCCGACCCGACAAAAATTAAGGTGAAACCGATCCAAACCGACCCGACTTGAAAAAAACCCCGAAAAAAACGAATATACCTTGCTTGGACAAAGTTATCATTTTTTTGTGCCTGCCCTTACCCACATGGCATGAATTCTTTTGCAAAACCATCGTCTCTCTGTCTGTCACACTCAGTTGGTTCATCGAGAGCAACTCTGCTTATTGAACAAACGCTTGGTATCATCACGCGGTATCATGAAAACTGTTACAATGTATCTAAACCGACCCGACCCGACCCGAAGTCCGTTTCGGGTCGGGTCGGTTTCGGTTTCACAGTGTTGTAGTCGAGGCCACAACCTCCGAGGCCGAGGCCAAGGCTGAGGCCACAACCAACGAGGCCAAGGCCGAGGCCGAGGCCACAACCGCGAGGCCGAGGCCACCGCCTCCGAGGCCAAGGCCGAGGCCGAGGCCAGCTATCAAAACACGTAATAAAATATAAATCACTAAAACAAGGCTAAGATTATGTGGGAGTTTTAACATCTTTTCAGTTGAATTCACTGATAGTTTAGTCGGAAAAGGGGGGTATCGTGCACCCTCGGAAATCAATTTCTAATCAACGTGTCTAGGTCAGAAAAAATGCGTAGAAAACGATTTGCTATGTTAAAAAATTCAAAAAATGTCCCACGTATTGTTTTTATGCAAATTAGTGCCGCCATTACCGAAAAATCTATTTTTAATTATATCTCAGCCAATATTGCAGATAACTGAACGAACTAGGTGTCTAAACCCATGTTTTCAAGGTCAGAGATCACAATAAAACTATTTTGGAAGTCACCACATGTGTCTGTGGCATAGGAATATGCAAATTAGTGCCGCTAATACCGGAACATCATGTTTTTGGCATATCTCGGCCAATATAGAACATAACTACACCAGTAAGGTGTCTAAACCCATGTTTTGATGGTCAAGTATCATTAGAAGACCATTCACGAAGTAACTATGTGTGTCTTTGGCATGAAAATATGTAAAATATTAAGTGTCGGTTTATCAGATATTTGATTTTTAGCCAATATCTCGGCCAATATTGCACATAACTACACCAATAAGGTGTCTAAACCCATGTTTTGAGGGTCAGGTATCATTAGAAGACCATTTACGAAGTAACTATGTGTGTCTTTGGCATGAAAATATGTAAATTCTAATTTGCCGGTTTATCAAAAAATTGATTTTTAGCCAATATTATATTCAATTTCAGCCAATAGTACAGTTTATTTTAAATATGATGGCTTAAAATAAACTTTGATCATTATTGCTTATCAAAAACCCTTCTGTCAACATTAGCTGCAATATTGGCCGAGATATTGGCTAAAAATCAAATTTACGATAAATCGACACTTTTGAATTTACATATTTACCTGCCAAGGACACGCATAGTTACTTCGTGAATGGTCTTCTAATGATACCTGACCCTCAAAACATGGGTTTAGACACCTTATTTGTGTAGTTATGTGAAATATTGGCCGATATATTGGCTAAAAATCAAATATCGGATAAACCGACACTTTATAATTTACATATTTTCATGCCAAAGACACACATTGTTACTTCGTGAATGGTCTTCTAATTATACTTGACCCTCAAAACATGGGTTTAGACACCTTACTGGTGTAGTTATGTGCTATATTGGCCGAGATATGCCAAAAACATGACTTTCCGGTATTTGCGGCACTAATTTGCATATTCCTATGCCACAGACACATGTGGTCACTTCCAGAATAGTTTTATTGTGATCTCTGACCTTGAAAACATGGGTTTAGACACCTAGTTCGTTCAGTTATCAGCAATATTGGCTGAGATATAATTAAAAATAGATTTTTCGGTAATGGCGGCACTAATTTGCATAAAAACAATACGTGGGACATTTTTTGAATTTTTTAACATAGCAAATCGTTTTCTACGCATTTTTTCTGACCTAGACACGTTGATTAGAAATTGATTTCCGAGGGTGCACGATACCCCCCTTTTCCGACTGAACTATGAGTTTTGGAGTGCCTGGCTTACAAATTTACAGCTTGCAACGGGTTTCCTCTTGTACAGATTTTATTTTTTAAAGAAAGAAATCTCAAGTTTTGTATCACTGAAAGCAAATTACACAACAAAATCAATGGCGTTTGAATCAGACTCATAGGTGTTTGCCCTTTGGAGATACAACAATTTAAATGGCCAAATTTTGAGTTTCAATTCTGTAAGATTTACATCATTTACTTTTGGCATGTTTTATGAATCTTACTTTAAAAAACCTATCAAAATGCTTAATATCATAGGAATCCCCATTAAATATACAACAACTTGATTTTTGAATCAGGTTTTTACCACTCATAACCAAAAAGTTACGCCCCCCCCCCGACCTTCGCACTGTCCAGGCGCGCGCCGAGCAAACACCGCGATGCGACCAGACAATGCCAGATGGCCCGCCGTTACGCACGGGCAAAGCATAGTTCCAATCCCGCTCCACACAACGGGATAAGTGTCCACGCATTATCACTGTTAATACCACGGTACCAGGCAAAGTCTGGCAATGGCCAATCCCGCTCCAAACAACACGGCAACACGGAACATGCGTGCATGATATCACTCAGTTCATCAAAATGACCGTGAATTCTCGGATCATCCGATTTGAATCCAATGGCTTCGAAGAATTTTAAGATCATGGCAAGAGGTAGGGAGTCCAGAGGTTTTGGCCGTATATCTGTAACCACGCAAAATTAGTCAATTTCAAACCGTGCTTATACATGTAATAAGTATCAACATGGCTCTAAAAATACAAAAAAAGTATCCTGGTACCACGAGGAATACTGACTCCTATTATTAAAACATTCATTCAGAACTTTGCATTCATTTGGATGGAAAAACGCACTTTCCATATTGAAATCGCGCTTTCCATATTGACCATTTGCGCCAAACATTACCGTGTGAGCCGGAACTTTCATTTAAATTGCCGTCTAAAAATAAAATCTACTTGATAAATCGTAATTGTTTTTATCATATCTTTATGGGGGGAAAATGGTACGGACTTGTACACTCGATCGTACCCAGAAAGTTCAGACTTTTACTGAAACAATGGCCTATAAAAAGAAATGATTAAGCTTGCCGCACCTTGCTGCAAATTATTTTTAAAGGTCGGGGTACAGAGGCGAAACGAGAAAATTTTGTACAACACTGCAACCAGACTAGTCTACTACCACATGTTATTGTACGCAAATGGGATTGGTGCCAGACTATTGTAGTCTGGCACGCGGTGACAGTTATAACGCTTGCACGCACGTGGAAAACTGAAGCGCAGGCTAGGCGAAGATGCTAGGTACGTGAGTACGTATAAACTATAATGCAACCATTTCCAGTTCATTCGTGCGTACATTGTATATATATGCGTTCGTTTCACGGAACCCACTGCGGCAGAATCTCGAGGGCTTAAATTTAAATTAATAGGAATAGAAAACACATCAAAATGGGCGGCCTCGAGCCGGCCTCGACTGATTCGCCGAGGCCAGAAGGCTCCGAGGCCGAGGCCAAGGCCGAGGCATTGCACCTCCGAGGCCAAGGCCGAGGCCATGAAAATCTGCCTCGAGGCCGGCCTCGAGACCTCCAACACTGCGGTTTCAGGTCGGGTTTGCACATCATTACTTTATATGAAAGCATTTTAAAGAACATTTGTCATCGAGCAGTAGCTTAGTGGGTAGCAAGATGGGAAAAAATGTTGCAACCTGACAGCACTTCCACGATTGTGTACAAAGTCTATGGAGAGACAAGAACATTTTTGAAGTATTTCTTAACAAATTTGGAAAAATTTCTCAGTCCCACATTCATGTCTTATCATTTTTGCAATGAATGACCTTCATTGAGATGCAGTGGCATATCCAGTGGGGGGGGGGGCACTTTGTCCCCCCTGGCGGATTTTTTTGACAATTTTTTTTTTTGTCAGCAATGATTTTAATAAATGTTTAAAGATTTTTCCGACATCAATCCCACCAAAGAAAACCTGCTCAACAACCATTACAATGCGCAGTGAAATGTATAAATGTGTAGTATGCATAATAATGGTCAGTTTTGAGGAGCGCCCCCACTTGGAAGATGGGTACCAGCCCCCCCCCCCCCCCCCCACACTTTTTAATTTTACGGGGGGCAAGTGTCCGGAGGCCCCCCCCCCCCCCAATTTTACGGAGGGCAAGTTTCCAGAGGGAAAAACATGTCTACATTTTGGCGCGGATGTGCAGTTGCCCCCGTGACATCAAAAGCTGGATACGCTGCTGTTGAGATGATATATATATGAAGAAAAAAAAAATTTTCTACGAGTATTACAAGATCCCTAATTTGAATCCCTGTCATCTAGTCCCATAAATGTGACTGAAATACTGGACTACCTCCGTATTGTAAGTCACAAAGCCACGTACAGTCTGTGTGCGGAGCATCCCGTTGCTAGAGGGAGCCGAAAATTATTAAAGATTGAAATTATTTTGTGAGATGAAAATCAACCTAGCTATAGTATGACTGATAAATAGCACCAAATCGTTAAATTCGGTACCTTCAGAGGTCTGGTTATTCAAAAATCATGGTGATTCGTCAAAGAATGCAGACGGTTTTTGACAAGCATGACGTCTCCAGACTGTTTCCCCCGCCACCCTAATAATAGTCAAGAGGCTAAAGGGGTCAAGGAACCAGACGAAAGCTTTAATCATCGACTAAGCGTGCGTCAATTTTGGCAAAGCTGTTACCTGTCATTCCAAAATCTTTGGCACTCTGTAAAGTGCTCGGATGCAATGCGCCACCGCCATGGGCGTCGCCAGGATTTTTTCTAAAGGGGGGCCAAAAAAATTTTTGCCAATAAAAGGTTGCATTTCTCAACACATTCTCGATTTATCAGTTTTAGAGGGGGGCAGGGACATTTTGCCCCCCCCCCCAACTCATTAAATTTACACCACTTTGTCTTCGCGCCTCTTTTTTTTTTTTTTCTTTTTTTTCTTCCTTTTTTTTTTTTTTTTTTTGCTTTTCCAGGGGGGGGCAAGTGCCCCCCCCTTGCCCCCCCCTCGCGACACCCATGGCCACCGCGGATGAAGAGCGCACCAAGATGGCGCGCTTCGCTGCAGATTTTGGAATGACAGGTAACAGCCGTGGAGCCTTTGCCAAAATAGACACACGCTCAGTAGATGATTAAAAGCTTTCATCTGATTTCTTGACCCCTTTAGCCTCTCGACTATTATTAGGGTGGCCGGGAAACAGTCTGGAGACATCATGCTTGTCAAAAACCTTCTGCTTTCTTTGACGAATTACCATGTTTTGGGGGTAACTAGACCTCTGAAGGTGCCGAATTTAACGATTTTGTGCTATTTAGCAGTCATATTATAGCTAGGTTGATTTTCATCTCACAAAATAATTTCAATCTTTAATTAATTTTCGGCTCCCTCTAACAACGGGACGCTCCGCGCACAGGCTGTACGTGGCTTTGTGACTTAAGTCCAGTATTTCAGTCACATTGATGGGACTCAGTATCTCAGTATCTGTCATCTGGCTGTTCATTTTCATCCACTATTTTGTTCTAAGACTGAGGGGTTTTTTTGAGATAATTTTTGAGGAATTTGTTTTTATTCAAAGGAAAAACATAAATTAGCCTAAGTGGTACAACCTGGAGTTTTATACCTAATTTCCGGACGGTCCCGTTGTCGGTTTTTGCTGCTGTCAGTGACAATGGCACTGATGATGACACGCCCGGGCTAAATTTGTGTTAGCTTGAGTAACTCCAGCCGACATGTTCCATATTCATTCACATGTAACGCTGGAGGAATAACAGCTGTTCGTTTCCATGTGGTAGCAAGAGACCCTAAAAAAACGGCCTCTCCAAAATTGTCCGAATTTCACCTCTTTTATCCCACCCCAGAGTTCATTTACATACTTCATACATTCAGCAGTCATTTACGAAGCTAATGATCGACTAGCTGGAGTTACCCAGCCCTGAATTTTATCATTGGGTTGTCATGTAGGGCTGGAGCTAATTTTTCACGTAACCGAGCAGCGTAGGCAGGTCCCAAAAAAAATTGCGAGGTTTTGAATATGAGGTTTACCACCCGCATCACAGCTTTGGTACTGGAACCGCAACCGATAGTGCATGAAACAGTCATCGGGTGTTACGCTTCCGCGTGACGTCATGCGCCAACAGCCAGCGCAGCCGGCAAAAACGAGTAGTTGACAGCACTCTGTGCCTGGTAATCGACCGCCATTCATTGTACACAATTTTTTTGTGCACAAACCAATTGCGGTCTTGGCCATGCCTGCAAGGTTGTAAGGTTAGCGGTTATTCCTCCTTTTTTCACTGCAATTGTAGGCTGAATCTTCATCGTGGATCGTTTTTTACTTCAAGGACCTGTGTAATGGTTATTCCAGGCAAGTTTGGGGTGAGTTGCAGTTGCAATTAGTGTGTAACGGGGACAAAATTGAACATTTTCCAAAAATGGAAAAAAGGAGGAATAACCGCTAACCTGACAACCTTGCAGGCATGGCCAAGACTGCAATTGGTTTGTGCACAAAAAAAATTGTGTACAATGAATGGCGGTCGATTACCAGGCACAGAGTGCTGTCAACTACTCGTTTTTGCCGGCTGCGCTGGCTGTTGGCGCATGACGTCACGCGGAAGCGTAACACCCGATGACTGTTTCATGCACTATCGGTTGCGGTTCCAGTACCAAAGCTGTGATGCGGGTGGTAAACCTCATATTCATAACCTCGCAATTTTTTTTGGGACCTGCCTACGCTGCTCGGTTACGTGAAAAATTAGCTCCAGCCCTACATGACAACCCAATGATAAAATTCAGGGCTGGGTAACCCCAGGCAGCTAATGATCGACTTGAAACAGACCACACAAAAAAAGTGAAAAATCTTGACGATTTCGTTGGCTTGTCCGTACAAATACGCCAGTTCCAACGGCTGTCTTCCATTTTGTTTTACCATTATGTAAATGTATGCATCACATGATGACATCAAAAAAATCTGCGAGCGCGATGTTTGTGGGTACCACACCGCTTTCAGGCGCCGCAAGTGAGTTCAATTTTCGTCTGGTGCTTTGTCACGGAAAGCAGGACAACGAGAATGCCCTCCACGGCAACGCACCAGACGAAAAATGCGGCGCCTGAAAGCGGTGTGGTACCCACATACATCGCGCGCGCAGATTTTTTTTGATGTCATCACGTGATGCATACATTTACATAATTAGTAAAACAAAATGGAAGACAGCCGTTGGAACTGGTGTATTTTTACGGACAAGCCACCGAAATCGTCAAGATTTTTCACTTTTTTTGTGGTCTGTTTCAAGTCGATCATTAGGCTTCGTAAATGACTGCTGAATGTATGAAGTATGTAAATGAACGCTGGGGTGGAAAAGAGGTGAAATTCGGACAATTTTGGAGAGGCCGTTTTTTTAGGGTCTCTTGCTACCACATGGAAACGAACAGGTTATTCCTCCAGCGTTACATATGAATGAATATGGAACATGTCAGCTGGAGTTACTCAAGCTAAATTTGTGTGATCTCGGTATCTCTAAATTTGGCCCAAAACATCCAGTACTAGCCCCATAAATGTGGCCTATTTACTGGACTGCCTCCGTAAACATAGGCCACACATCCACATGTACAAAAATCGTGTCGACGGAGCCAAATTTTGATTTTCACATTTAGGCTTAGTTTGTAGGGTTTTTTTGCTTTAGAAGCATACTCACCCTCTTTATAGGCTAATCAGAAAGTGCTGCCTTTTTCAGATGTATATTTTTCGTGAAATTTCCAGATTCATTTTTACACGTTTGCGTATCAAAATTTCAACATGAAATTTCACAAAAATTAGACATCTGAAAAAGGCAGCACTTTCTGATTAGCCTGTAAAGAGGGTGAGTATGCTTCTAAAGCAAAAAAACCCTACAAACTAAGCCTAAATGTGAAAATCAAAATTTGGCTCCGTCGACACGATTTTTGTACATGTGGATGTGTGGCCTATGTTTACGGAGGCAGTCCAGTAAATAGGCCACATTTATGGGGCTAATCCAGTACAAGTTCCAGCATTAAGATGTTGATACACTAAGTTAACTTACATTTCATATAGAAGGTGAAATTTCCCGTTCTTGGCCGAGAGCCTACGTGTCCTGCTGGAAAACACGAGCAACCCATCACATACCATACCAGCACTGGCAGTGATGGACCCGCCCTTCTCATGCCGTACGTACAGTACATGTGGGCCAATGCAGCTACCCGACTCGTGGACGCACATTCTTTCGTTTTACACGCGGTTCAACCGCGGCTGTGCTCTTATCCTATCAAAAGCCGTGCAAAACAATACGGTGTCATATGAAAACGCGTCTCCTACAAAAACTGGATTCTGTGACCCGTTATTGGTTAAAGGTAAAGTCCATCTCTTGTAATTTGTGCATTTACTGTTTGTTTGAAGCAACGTGCTCAGTCAAAATAAAAGTCATGATGTTTAGCAAGTGCACCCGCGTGAGCGCTTCGCTGAATAAAAAACGAAGTAGGGAAATTTGCCGCGGAAATTTTCAAAATGACAGCTTGCCAGAAAGAATAATTTCACAGGGCGTTTAGCCCCCTTACTATCTTTCAACCGAGTATGTTATTTTTCAACAATAATTACCTCAGTTACTTTTTGGATAGCTGCCAATGATGGACTGTACTAGCTTTAAACCTTTCCACGTGACCGCCATCGCTCTACTAAATTATTCTTAGGCATGCGCAGTAATTAAGCAGACTGGTGATGGTCACGCGGGAGGGTTTAACCAATAACAGGTACAGAATCCAGATTTTACAGGAGTCCTAGTTTCATATGACAACACCGTGTTGTTTTGCGCGGCTTTTCATTGGATAAGTAGGGAGCTCTGGAAGTGCCATCCGATTTGTTCAGACACTGACATATTTTATCTCCGGATGACGACAAAATACAGGCAAGATGACGACATCCTGATAATAGGATGACAACATCTTAAGACAATGTCTTCTGGCATGATGGCATCCTGAGATAGTTTATTAGGGGATGACGACATCCTGAAAATAGGATGACGACATCCTGAGATAATTTATGATGGGATGACGACATCCTGAAAATAGGATGACAACATCCTGAGATAATTTATTATGGGATGACGACATCCTTAAAATAGAATGACGACATCCCGAGATATTTTATTATGATATGACGCTGACATCCTGAAAGTAGGATGAGGACATCCTGAGATATTACGGGGTGCATTGAATCCATCTTGGAAACGCATATACATCATGACCTCTCATCATCAAATAAATACCTTGTATATACAGCGATAGGGTAAATTGTTTACAAGCCGCACGTCCACCTGTGCGTATTGAAGATGGCTTCAATGCACCCTGTGATAAATTATGTCATGATGTCGTCACTCTGCTTCCAGGATCCCATAACAAACTATCTAAAGATGTTGTCATCCTATTTTTTCAGAATGTCGTCATCCCATAATAAATTGTATGAGGATGTCGTCATCCTATTTTCAGGATGTCGTCATCCCCTGATAATTTATCTCAGGATGTCGTCATCCTACTTTTAGGATGTTGTCATGCCCTAATAGATTATATCAGGATATCGTCATCCTATTTTCAGGATGTCGTCGTCCCATAATATATTATCTCAAGATGTCGTCATCCTACTTTCAGAATGTCGCCATCCCCTAATGAATCATCTCAGGATGTCGTCATCTTGCCTGTATTATGTCGTCATCCTAAGATAAAATAAGTCAGTATCTGAACAAGTCGGATGGCACTTCCAGAGCTCCGTAGTATACTACTTGTACAGCAACAATTTTCTTTTTCTTTTCTGATCCGAGGCTCTGGAGGATTTAAAAAAAAAAGGGAAATTAAGTCCAAAATCCGCACCAAGTTGAAAAACAGTAGCCTCCACTCCAGCTTTTTTTTTTTTTTAAATGCCCCATAGGAAAGCGCACAGGTACCCCAGATAGTTGTGTACAGCGCCCTCTAAAAAAAATCTTTGAGAGTGACGTTTCTGAAATTTCGGACTTGCTTTGGCTCAGAGTCATGACGGTTTACGTAATCATTTCGACATCTAATTAAACAATCCAATGCAAGCATAGCAACTCTAACATTGAGACTGTCGACAAAAATTGATGTTTTCAAAGCAGAACAAAGACCGTTACCAGTATATACAAAACGTGACAAAATAACATCGCACTGGAAGTGAAAGCTGTGTTTCAAACGAAACCGATGTTTACGAAAAATCGGAAGGTATGCACTTGGTATGACGTACGCCCACGTGATTGCGCGCACCGGTGGTGGTGTTTTGTTTTGTGACACTGACAGGCGCAGAATGAATGGATAATATTCACGCGTGGTGGTTGTTGTCTGCGTGCGCTGCACATGTGTAGCCTAGCCTGCAAAAACTGTAACAATGCCCGTCTCGAAAAATTTGGTGTCGTTGCCATGTTGGGTCATGCAACTTTCTCCAGATTCGTTGTTGAGGAACGTCTTGTATCTCCACTTGTGAGGTGGTTTCAGTGTGTCCGCCATCAACTCGATTTTCTTAAAACCTGAAAAACTGCAAGACGTTCATGGTCCGGTCGTGAGTATTTAGCAGGGAAAGAATCGTATTACCAAGGTTGCGATCATGGCGATTTGCATTCACAAAGCGCGGGATTCGCAATGGTACCAATCCTGTTGCATAAACTGCAGATCTAAGATTCTCACAGAATCCTATTTAAACTTGTTGAATTTTGAGCATGTTAAGGAAGTGACAATTAAGCTAGTGGTTACTCACGTACATCACAATATGTGCACCCCCCCATGTTGAAGCACTTGAAAGTGTTCAACATATTTAATTGGCCTGATCGAAGATCAATCTGATAATTGACAATTATTATGCACCCAAAATAGGGCTGATGGCTTTCAGGGACTTCATTAATCCTTGCAACATATCTCTCTCTGTTATTTTAGTATCTATTGTATCATAGTGGTTATGTGAAGTAGTTTTCTACAGGAAATAATTAATGCTGGGTTCCTTTATTTTCAATAGGGCCCAAAGAAATATTGATTGTGAAAAGAATGCAAAAGTCATATCCGTCACACCTTTTGTGACGGAAATGACAATTATTATATTAATTGGCTTTTGGAGGTATAATTACCTTTGCAAGTTGTTTACTTTACAAATTATGGCAGTAGGTACATATTGAGAAATACACTGGGACATGCACTTTGAGGGGGTTTTGAGGGAGTATTGTAACAAATGAGCATCTTGTCCATTATTTTAAAGAGTTTTTAACACTGCACATAATAGGAGTCGTTTTTAAGTTAATTTCACTGCGTAAAAATCTCATTTTCATTCTATATTTTTTTGATTTATAGTGCCTTAAAGTGTCGGGACATGAAAGTAGACACTTGATACTGAAGAATGACCCATAGGCCCCTTTTTAATAAGAACTTGCTGGGAGTGTACATGCAGGAAGCAATTCATGATAAACTATCTCCAGCATTTAGGATAGAGATAAACCCACGAATGATTCTAGCGGAAGGTTGATGCATTGGCAGTTGTACTGTTTAACTATGTTCACTATAGGGTGTCAGTGGGTACATTGATTTTTTTGAAAAGAAGCTGAAACCGTTAGAAGCAGTAAGTGAAAATTTACAAAAATCCACTTGGACAAAAGATGTATATCATACATTTAATTTAGCCAGTTAAACTGTGCACATTAGTTTACTTGTGCTTTTAACAAATTCAATAAATATATAAAATCTGATATCAAAAAGTAATTTCATCCTCTGCAGGCTGAGTGTCAACATTAAACTGAAATCCACAGGCAAAAGGGGAACTATGTATTGGTGGAGTGAGGAAATTATGGATGTGACATTTACACATTTAAACATTTAAAATAATAAACAAAGTTCTAAATCGTATTTTTCCAAAGGTTTTAACAAAACTCAAATTTTAAAAACAGGAACCTATTTTCCGCTATCTTCCTTTGAGTTGAGCACGCATAACAAAAATAATTCAAACCTATTCAATTTGCTAAAAGCTAAGGAGAACTGCAGTACTAGATAACTTTCAGGCTACGTGCTCATCTTTTATTGTTTTCAATGACAGCCCTCTTTTTATTATGTTACTCGTTTATTATTAAATTATTGTGTCGATCATGTTGGTCTGCACAATGGGCAGTCATCAGTCTTTGTGAAAGGGCTCAACATTGAGATGGTTCTTTAAATGTTTGCTAAACATTTACAAAATGAAACGTCACATCCTTAGAAGACATTGGAGGAGGAGGTCTAAGAGATTGGAGGAGGAAGGGAATTGGGGGTCTGTGGATGTTTGAGCTACTACGTACATGTAGAGGGTAACAGATGTCTCTGATGGTGATGCTGAAGTTTTGCAGAGCTATCGTCTGTTTGCTGACCTTCATTGCTAGACGGACAGAGCATGGATGTAGCTGCTTGATACTCATGATGATGGTGTCCCTTTTGGTGAGTGTTGGGTGTTCACTGATTTCCTGTAATTCTCCCCATCTGCCATGTGCTCTGTGTTTGTGCTGTCTGGCGTTGAGTTCTCTTGCTGGTGTACCCAGTGTACACCTTCTGCATTCGCAGGGGATGCATCAGGTTCGGTCTTGGAGGCTTGCTTGTCCTGTGGGCTATTGTGGATCTTGTGGGTGTGGAAAGCCCGGATACCTTTGTCATTTAGGAAGTACTGGATGTGATGAGAACTGCTTGTGTTGGGCTGTGTAATAGGCGGGGTGAGCCTAGTGGGTTCGACCTTGGGTGTAGGGGACCCTTTGGTAGGTGAAAGACTTTGGATCTTGCGTCTTGACTGGATGAGCCTTGAATCTGTTGTGTTGTAGTGCTGTCTTGACATGGTAAAGTTGTTGCCGGCCAGGATTGTGGTTGCTGATGCAGGCTTCCCGGACAAGGTTGCTCTTTGACTGGTGTTTGGATTTCCGGGTGCAGGAAGGATTGGTTGTGGATGTTGCCAGTCAGTGTCTGTCGGTCATCTCTAATAGACTCAGGGGTCGAGGGTGTTGTCAGACTGTTTTCAGACCTTAGCATCCAGGGATGAGATTCAAGGCGCCTGATCCTCACTGCGCCAGATGCTGCTGTAAATCCAGTTGAAGTCTTTCAGGACCTGCTGGAGGTCCCATGCTGTATGATGAAGTGATGAGAGTCTCATCCGTGTACTGAAGACAAACTCTTGGTCTCAGATCTACGAAGGCAGTACTCCTATAT